AAAATATTTCACATAGAATTTCATTATAAAAAGCTGATTCCAGTGGAGTTTCTTATTACCTAGCTGGAAAGTTTCTTCAATAAAAGGCAAAACTCTTAAGGCAAAAATAATGGAATCGGAATTTCCTGGTAATATGCACATCTACACACTGTGTACTAAATATCTGCAAAGTTTGTCCAAATTCTGTGCAGCGGTTTAAGAGGAGTTGTGCTGACAAACTGTTCATCTCTATATTCAAGATATGGCCAAAAACCTAAGTTGAAAAGTGCCAAAATTCCCAGAAAAAATAATGGAATCAGAATTTCCTGGTAATATGCACATCTACACACTGTGTACTAAATATCTGCAGAGATTGACCAAATTCTGTGCAGCGGTTTAAGAGGAGTTGTGCTGACAAACTGTTCATCTTTATATTGAAGATATGGCCAAAAATCTAAGTTGAAAAGTGCCGAAATTCCAAGAAAATATAAAGGAATCGGAATTTCCTGGTAATATGCACATCTATACATTGTGTGCTAAATATCTGCAAAGTTTGACCAAATTCTATGCAGCGGTTTAATAGGAGTTGCGCTGACAAACTGTTCACCTCTATATTCAAGATATGGCCAAAAACCTAAGTTGAAAAGTGCCGAAATTCCCAGAAAAATACGGAATCGGAATTTCCTGGTAATATGCACATCTACACACTGTGTACTAAATATCTGCAAAGTTTGACCAAATTCTGTGCAGCGGTTTAAGAGGAGTTGCGCTGACAAACTGTTCATCTCTATATTCAAGATATGGCCAAAAATCTAAGTTGAAAAGTGCTGAAATTCCCAGAAAAATAATGGAATCGGAATTTCCTGGTAATATGCACATCTACACATTGTGTACTAAATATCTGCAAAGTTTGACCAAATTCTGTGCAGCGGTTTAAGAGGAGTTGCGCTGACAAACTGTTCATCTCTATATTCAAGATATGGCCAAAAATCTAAGTTGAAAAGTGCTGAAATTCCCAGAAAAATAATGGAATCGGAATTTCCTGGTAATATGCACATCTACACATTGTGTCCTAAATATCTGCAAAGTTTGACCAAATTCTGTGCAGCGGTTTAAGAGGAGTTGCGCTGACAAACTGTTCATCTTTATATTGAAGATATGGCCAAAAATCTAAGTTGAAAAGTGCCGAAATTCCAAGAAAATATAAAGGAATCGGAATTTCCTGGTAATATGCACATCTATACATTGTGTGCTAAATATCTGCAAAGTCTGACCAAATTCTGTGCATTGGTTTATGAGGAGTTGCGCTGACAAACTGTTCATCTCCATTTTCAAGATATGGCCAAAAATCTAAGTTGAAAAGTGCCGAAATTCCGAGAAAAAATAAAGGAATCGGAATTTCCTGGTAATATGCACATCTACACATTGTGTCCTAAATATCTGCAAAGTTTGACGAAATTCTGTGCAGCGGTTTATGAGGAGTTGCGCTGACAAAAAAACAGGACTGACGGACTGACTGACTGACTGACACACTGACTGACTGACTGACGGACGGGTCAAAAACATTATACCTCGCGCAACTTGTTGCGTGGGGTATAACTAGTATTAATTGTAACGGGGACTGTTACAGATGTTCCCCAAACGCTCCCCAACTCCCTTTTGGTGTCCTATTCCCAGTAAGCTTCATTAACTATGGCAATCAAGTATGTTGGTCCTTTTGTGCATTACACGCGCGCGCACGGGCATGCGTGTCCATAATGACCGTGTCAACTTGTCTACTCTTTTAATACATCTTTATATTCAAATTTCATCAAAAGATTAAAAAAATTGGCTATATTAAGTACATTTGTCATTTTACGCATTGTACGCGCGCACACTTGCATGCATGTCCATGAGGACCATGTCATCTTATCTACACTATTAATATATCTAAATATTTTGAGTATCAAAGCATTTCATTAAAAAGTATAAAAGTTACAGCTATATCAAGTATATTGGTCATTTTAGCACTGCACGCACGTGCATGTGCATGGTGACCATGTCGTATCTTCCACATTTTTAATATTTCTTGATATTCTTAGTATCAAAGCTTTTAAAAAAAATATGAAAGTTATGGCTATATCAAGTATATTGGTCATTTTATGCACTGCACGCGCGCGCACGTGCAAGCATGTGCAAGAAGACAATTTTACCTTGTCTGCACTTACAATATCTCTTCATATATTCAGTATCAAAGCATTTCATCAAAAAATACAAAAGATACGGCTATATTAAATCCATAGGTCATTTTATGCATTACACGTGCGCGCACGTGCATGCATGTGCATGTTGACAATGTCATCTTGTCTACATTTACAATATGTATATATATTCTGAATATCAATGCATTACATCAAAAAATATAAAAGTTATGGCTATATCAAGTATATTGGTCATTTCACGTGTTGCACGTGCGCGTACTTGCATGCACGTGCGCGCAAAATGACCTTCGTTCCGCAAATCTACATAACATGTCTATTGACCCTAAAAAGGTTTCACCTCAATTGGACGAGTAGGCCCGAAACAATGGATTTCGATGCTAAAAATCTTTCTCAGACCTGGAAGAAATGGAAGGAAGAGGTGTTACTCTACATAGATATCAGCATGGAGAAAAAACCAGAGCCACAAAAGGTGAAACTCTTGCTGTATCTTCTGGGACACAAGGGGAGAGAAATCCATAGCACGATGCAGTTTCAAACTACCGATGAGCATGGGAACAAAGTGAATATGGAAGAGAAAAATATTACTGTAAAACTCATCCTCGCAGAATTTGACAAACACTGTGATCCCAAGAAAAACGAAACAGTCGAGAGGTACAAATTCTACAGTCGAAACCAGCAGACAGGTGACACATTTGACAAATTCTTAGCAGAAGTTAGAATTTTGGCTGACACTTGTAACTTTGGAACTCTCAAAGACTCAATGATAAGAGACCGAATTGTTTGTGGCGTAGGTGATTCTGGGCTGCGAGAAAGGCTTCTACGTGTGGCCGATTTAGACTTGGAGAAATGCATTCATGTGTGTAGAGCCACTGAAGTTTCCAAGGAGCAGAACAAGGAAATTCAACCACAGGCTGCAGGAATATCTGTGCATGCAGTCAACTCGCACAAGAAGAGCTTCAAGAAACAGCCACAAAAGTCCCAGAAACCACAGCAACAGGTACAAGCGAGACAAGAACCTAGTCAATGCAAGTACTGTGGAAGTCGCCATGCCAAAGGAAAGCGAAATTGCAAAGCCTATGGCCGTCAGTGCAGGAAGTGTCGCAAACTTCATCACTTTGAAAATGTCTGCAATTCCGCCAAGTCAACAGTCCATCAAATCCAAGAGAGTGCCGAATCAGACTCTGATGATTACTTTTCTATATATAGTGTAGATCTCAAAAACAACAGCGAGTCAGTAAATGCAATTAACCAAGCTTCTGCAAACAAGGTATTTGCCACCTTGTCGGTCAACGGACAGTATGTAAAATTTCAAGTGGACAGTGGGGCGACCTGCAACATACTCCCAAGAAAGTATTTGACAGATAACAATGCAATCACAGAGACAGACCAAATACTCAGCATGTATAACAACACGACAATCAAACCTCTGGGCAAGTGCAACCTAAAATTCAAAAATCCTAAGAACGGAGGAAAATACAAAGCGGATTTCGTCATACTGGATGGCTCGTGTCAACCAATACTTGGTTCCAAAGCTTCACAAGCCTTGAAATTGATCACGGTCGAGAACGAAAACATCCTTGAATCAATGTGAGAAAACAACCATTGACAAAGGAGAACATTTGCAGAGAATACCATGATGTGTTTACTGGCCTAGGACACCTGAAAGGAGATTACAGCCTCCAGATTGATCCGAGTGTCAAACCAGTTGTTCATGCTCCACGGAAAGTTCCACTCGCAATCAAGAATGACTTAGAAAAGGAACTGGAGAGACTCGTACAACTGGAAATTCTAGCTAAAGTTACTACACCTTGGGTCTCCAGCTTGGTTGTAGCAAGGAAGCCAAGTGGAAAACTCAGAGTCTGCATAGACCCTCAAGACCTGAACAAGGGACTGCAGCGAGCGCACTACCCTATGCCTACAACAGAGGACATCTTGCCAGATTTGTCAGATGCCAACTGCTTCAGCGTCCTAGATGCCAAAGATGGCTTTTGGCATGTTCATCTGGACTACGAAAGCTCTCTTATGACTACTTTTAACAGTCCGTTTGGCAGATTCCGCTGGCTCCGCATGCCATTCGGTATCAACACTGCGCCAGAGGAATTTCAGTGTCGCCAGCATCAAGCACTGGAAGGACTACCTGGAGTCAAGAGTATACATGATGACATACTGGTGTTTGGAGAAGGAAACACAGAAGCAGAAGCGCAAGAGGATCATGACAGAAACTTTGTCAGACTCATGATGAGATGTAGAGAACAGCAGCTCAAACTCAATAAGGACAAGAAGAAATTTCGACAGTCAGAAGTAAAATTCATAGGCCACACGATCACTAATAAAGGACTCAAGGCAGACCCCGAAAAGGTCAAAGCAGTCCTGGATATGCCAAATCCAACTGACGTAGCAGGAGTCCGACGATTTATTGGATTTGTGACATATTTAGCAAAATTCTTACCAAAGCTTAGTGACATCTGCGAGCCGCTGCGCAAGTTAACACAGAAAGATGTTGAATGGCACTGGACCCCACAACATGACGAAGCTGTAAAACAAGTGAAAAATCTAGTCACAGCAGATCCTGTGTTACAGTACTTCAATCCAGAAAAGGCACTAACACTACAATGCGACGCCTCGGAGAAAGGACTTGGAGCAGCTTTGTTGCAAGAGGACAAGCCGATTGCCTTTGCCAGCCGTGCCCTGACCGAAACTGAAACCCGCTACGCACAAATAGAAAAGGAGCTTCTAGCAGTGATATTCGGGCTTTAACGTTTCAATGTTTACACATTTGGGAGACCAGTATCTGTCCAATCAGATCACAAACCTTTGGAGATGATTGTGAATAAGCCTCTTTACAAAACGCCAAAGCGTCTCCAGAGCATGCTGCTCAGGATGCAAAAGTATGAAGTAAATCTTAAGTACCGTCCTGGAAAGAATATGGAGCTAGCGGATACCTTAAGTCGTGCGTATCTGCCCAATGAGAAACCATCAAAGGCGGAGTCAGCAGTAGAAGCGATAAATATGCTACAATTCCTGCCAATTGCACCAAACCGTTTGAAAGACATTCAGGACGAAACTGCAAAGGATAATACCCTGCAAAATTTAGGATCATCCATCAGAAATGGGTGGCCAGACTGCAAAACCTTAGTTCCAGAACTCATAGTTCCCTACTTTGAGATCAGAGATGAGCTGTCTATCCAAAATGGAGTCATTTTTAAAGGAGACAGAGCAGTTATTCCACAAGCACTACGCAAGGATATGCTGACAAGGATACATTCATCACACCTTGGAATCGAGGGATGCCCACGACGAGCCAGAGAATCTGTGTACTGGCCACAAATGAACGCTGAAGTTAAGGACTTCATACAAAAGAGTGAAACATGCCGCACTTTTGACAACAACCAAGGAAAAGAACCTCTACAACATCACGAGGTACCACCACGTCCCTGGGCAAAGCTTGGACTTGACATCTTCACTTTCGACCAACGTAACTACTTGATAGTAACTGATTACTTCTCAAACTTCTTCGAGATTGATGCCTTGGACAGAATGACATCCCATGAGATCATCAAACGACTACGAGCACAATTCGCGAGACATGGAATACCAGACCTGTGTGTGTCGGACAACGGTCCTCAATTTGCCTCTGAAGAATTTGCTAAGTTTGCCCAACTGTGGGAATTCCAACACGTAACATCTTCACCACACTACCCACAAAGCAATGGGAAAGCCGAACAAGCAGTGAAAGTTGCCAAACAAATTCTAAAGAAAGCAAAACATGCAAAATCTGATCCTTACCTTGCATTGTTGGATTTCAGGAACACACCTACACAGCATGAGGGAACCAGTCCAGTCATGAGACTTATGGGAAGATGAACAAAAACACTACTACCCACGAAATGAAAGTCATTACAGCCGAAAGATGCACCATTTGAGAAAGAGAAGATCGACAATGCCAAACAAAAACAAGCAGAGTATTACAACAGATCTGCACACCCATTATCGCAACTATCAGTTGGAGAGACTGTCCGAGTCAAAACCCCTAATAGACCATGGGAGAAAGGAACGGTTACGGAAGCAATACCGGAAAGGAGATCATACAAGGTAACGACCGAGGCCGGAGCAAACTATACGAGAAACAGAAAACATTTGCGTAAATCAAATGAATTGCCGGTGTCAAGAGACATTCCGTGTGATCTTCCGTGTGAGACAAATGAGGCCAAGGAAGTGGCATCCGATGTTCCAAAGCCAGTAACAGATCCTAAGAACACAGTTACCCGTTCTGGACGTGAAGTGAAACCGCCGGTTAAATACAATGACTATGTCAGATCATGATTTGTTGATAGACATTTATCTTGAGTAGATGCCAAGATAATTTTGTTTAGGTAGCTAGGAACGCTTTATTCATTTCATCGATGTTGCATTTTACAAGTTTGCATATAATACTCATAGTCCAATTTCTAGTCATATTGTTATTTTATTGCTAGTCAGTTCAGTAAAGCAGTACAGATGTTTTGATTCTAGTCACTTTTAAGCATAATATAAATTTATTCATTGTCCATACTATTCTAACTAAAGAAAAGGGGATGTAACAATATTTGATCGGGTTCAATGTTCAATTTGTGCTTACAATTTACGCCATGCTTGTTTACATGTTCTAATAAATGTAGTCTAGTTGAAACTGACTTTTCTATTACGCCACACGGCAGCAGCTTCTTACAAGTAGGAATCGAGTTAATCATCCAAACATGCTGAGGAAATACGATCTTTTGATGTCCGATCTCTTCTTTGTTTACATGCGAAACTTTTTTCGGTGATCGTTTACGGTTAGATCGTACGCCATATTACTCGAAGGTAATGGAATAAATGTGTGTTAAGAAAAAAATTTTTATTTTTTTTTTTGTGACTTTATAAATATTTCTTTTGTAAACGTTCTATGTCCTTTTGCGTTTTTGTAATTTATTTTGAAATATGAATTAACCTTTACTCCAATCTGAAGGCTGTAGGATACAGGATAGGATAGGATAGGATAGGCTAGGATTGGATTAACTACTATATGTTTCTATCGTGAATCCTCAATCCTGAATCCAATCCAATCCCATCCCATGTCAACTTGTGGGATAGCAGCACTGTACCAATATCTGTGAAAATAAGCTTTTTTTCTACTACTTCCTGTTTGGCCGGAAGTGACGTCATTCGACGTATTTTGATGATCTCGCAAGCTGCTACTTGTCATTTTGAACAACTTTGCTTCTTTGAAGTATTACAAATTCTAAATACTTTTTGAGATATCAGGAAAAATATTCTGGCCCCTTTAGCTTCCTTATTTTAGGGGCCAGCCCTTTTTTCGAGATATCATTTAAAAGATCTTATAATTCTGCACAAATTTTGTTACATATGTTTTAACAAAATATTTCTACGTAAAAAGATATCGTACAGAAAGTGTTCAAAATTTTGAAACTTTCGATACTTTTTTCAGGCCATAGCGAGCGTCGACGTGTGGCACTTCCGGTGAAAGTTAACTACGTATTACAGATCTACATATATTGCTCTGTCTTCCCTAAAAGTTTCATGTTCCTATGATGAGTGGTTTTTTAGAAAACCTGCGGACAAACTGACCCTCCAAAAATAACTAAATCGCAAAAAGTCTTCGGACCTTAAGTGACGTCATGAAAATAAAAAATATGTATCAAGATTTTTTAATGTTCTATCAGGCCTGAAAGTTTCATGAAAATCAAGCGAACCGTTTTCGAGAAATTGCGTGCACAAAATCGGTAAGAAAAAAAATAATAAGAAAAACAGTGGAAAAGAAACCGAAGAATAACAAGAAGGTCTTCCGCTGAAGACGGAAGACCTTAATAACTAGAGCAAAGCTCGTTGCAAAGCAACGAGTAGGTCTTCCGTTGGAGCTGTGGACAGGAAGTACATGTACCGACCTTGGTTCAAGGTCATTACACTTTCTTAGGTGAAAAGCGATCTCGAATGAAGTGTTATTACATTCCAATGTTTCACCAGCAGAATGGCAGTGGAAAAATTTATAGTTTCTCTGTGACCTTGAACTTGTCCAAATGACCTTGCATCAAGATCATAACAGTTTCCAGTTATGGTCAATCGCCATCTGTTTATTTCCGACTAGACAAGATCATCTATTTTCTTTCAGACCATACACCAAGATAAAACATCTCATGTTCAAAACCGTTTACGGTAGCTCAGTCGGTAGAGCGCTCGCTCTCGCTCCGTGATCGGGAGGTCGTGAGTTTGAATCTCGGCCGCGACTAACCTAAGTCAATCAAAAATGGGAAGAAATTGTGTCTTCGCCATGTGCTCGGCTCTTTGAAGTGAAAGTTGCGGGTCCTTTGGATGAAACCTTAAAAACCGAGGCCCCGTGTCACATCAGGCGTTTGCATGATAAAGATCCCTAACTGCTCAATAGCCCTGAGTGCCGAGTAAAGGTCAAAATTTGAAGCCCTTCACCGGTATATGGTGACGTCTTTATATGAGTGAAAAATTCTCGAATGGGACGTAAAACAACATACAATTAATCAATTGTATCTTCAAAGTTGTAATTAAATACTAGGTTAACTTCAATTATCTAAAAATTCATTTAAAATTTGTTATGTCCAGTTTGGATATTGAAAAAATATTGGGTTCTTTGAATTTTTGTGTTGGTCTTGTGTCAAAAACGTTAAGTTAACCTAGTAAATAAAAGTGAAAAAAAAAAGGTGCTTTTCAACATGCTATCACATAATGTTCTATAAAGCAGAACATATTGTCTGCAATACAACAAAATAAAAAAAATTAATTCATCTGGTCATAAATAATCTTTTAGTGAAATACGGATACATGCCACGACCTGTTTTGAATTTTACACTTTTTATATCAGTGACCTTGAACTTGAATGACCTTAGTCAAGGTCATGACATACCCTAAGGTCATAAACAATCTTTGTGCTAAGTATGAGTTTCAAGTGATTCTCAATTACAAAGTAATGCCTTGACAAGAATTTTGTACTTCTCTGCCAGTGACCTTGAACTTGCCAGAAAGACCTTTGATCATGGTCATGACATAGCCTCCGATAATGATCATAAGCAATCTCTATATCAAGTAAGAGCTTCCGGTGATTTTCTATTACAAAGTCATAGCATGGAAATAATTTTTTTCCGTCAGTGACCTTGAACTTGCCGGAACAACCTTGGATCGGGGTCAAGACAAACCCGCAATCTCAAACAACCTCTGTTTTAAGAAAGATGTTCTTGTGATTCCCCTAGAAATTCATAGCCCAGACCGGAATTTTACAACTTTTTCTGCCAATGACCCTGAATTTTTCTGGATTGACCTTTTTGTGAAGTCATCTTAAACCAGCGGATCAGAAGCAATTTTTGTACCAAGTATGAGCTTTCAAAATTATAGCCCATATAGTAATCATACACTTTTCTTTAAGAGAACTATCATGAATGGCCTTGTGGCCAAGGTAGTAGCAAATCATTTTGTCATAAGTAATCCCTGTATCGAGTATGAGCTTCCAGCGATTCTCTCTTACAAATAAATGGCTCGAACAAAACTTTTATCCTTTTCCAGTGACCTTGAATTTGTCGGAATGACCTTGGATCAAGACCATGACACACCCTAGGATCATTGGCAATCTTTGTACCAAGTATGAGCTTCCAGTTTCTCCATATCAAAGTTATAGTCTGGGCAATATTGGAGGGACAGACGGACAACGAGACAAACGGACAGCCATGTGATTCCTTACACCCCCCCCCCCCACACACACACACACACAAACTTCGTTTGAATAAGCATTCTGGTCCCAAGTTTTTCCATGGAATCATGATTTGAAACTTTTATACTTTTTCAGGAAGTTTTCCTATGTTTTCTCATTCTGGCCTAGTGGTTCTTGAGAATAATATTTTCAAATGACCCCTTCCAATTTTTACTACATGTATTTCTAAATTATCTTCTGTTAGAAGAGGATGTGGCCCTTCATTTGAACAAAACTTTACCAAAGAATATTCTGTGCTAATTTTGGATGATAATGGCCCAGTGATTCTTGAAAAGATAAGAATGAGAAAAAAATTACAGGTACGTTTACAATGACAATGACGATTGATTGATTGATTGATTATATGTTGTTTTACGTCCCATTCGAGAATTTTTCACTCATATAGAGACGTCACCATACACCAGTGTAGGGCTTCAAATTTTGATCTTTACTCGGCAATCAGGGTCATTGAGCAGTGAGGGATCTTTATCGTGCCAACGCCTGCCATGACACGGGGCCTCGGTTTTTAAGGTCTCATCCAAAGGACCCGCATTCTTCACTTCAAAGTGCCGAGCACATGGCGAAGGAACAGTTGCTACCCATTTTTGATTGACTTAGGTCAGTCGCGGCCGAGATTCAAACTCACGACCTCCCGATCACGGAGCAAGCGCTCTATCGACCGAGCTACCGTGAACGGTACGACAACGAGGATTATGCTTACACCGAGAAACCCAACAACGATGGGAGAGAATGAACAAATTATGAACAGAAAATGTCAATTAAGCCTTTGGCTTGAGAGATGAGATATTGATTAAAAATTGAAATTATTTTGAAATATTCATTATTTTTTACGATCGACATTTTGACGGGCCTGTATTTCCAAAAAGAGAGAGAGAATTTCTAGCTAGTAGGTCTTTGAAAAACATGCAGAAAATCAGGTCCACATGGATTTAGGAATGTGAATGTAAATAAAATAGGTAGTGCCATTCTCTTGGAATTCAACACCAGCTTCTGTTAATCTTCGCCCTCACTTATACTTACTTGAGTAAAACCAACCGATGGAAAACTTCGCTTCTGAGGTAAAGAATTTTATTTATTTCGGGGGGGGGGGGGGATTCAATCAACTATTTTACAATTGCATGGCTTTCGTATTAATTAATAAACGTAAGTTAATGTCAGCTAAGAACTATATAAACATTTGTTATAAAGATAAATTAATTTTTTTTTCAATATAACCGAAGTGCAAAATAAGCAAAATCGGCAAATAAATATGTTTAAAAATCCTGATCTCGATCGAAAACACGTTAACAAACCCAAACCGCGCTTTTTTATTCAGGACACTTTAAAAAAATATGTTCAATTCAGTTAAATTGAGAAAAAAGTCCGACATTTTTAACCTCCTTTGGTATAATAATTTACTGATCCTTTTTCTGTATAGGAGGAACGCATAAACGAAGGATTAAAAATATATCGAGCGATTTTAATTGACAGGTGTACAAGTAGCACAGTGCATGGACTTAATTTTAGTATTACACATTGTGATTGAAGTTGAAAATAATCAACAAACAGATTT